CCCCCCCCCCCCCCCCCCTAAGCCCAGGCTTCTAAGCTCCCAAGCCGTCCCCTGCAGGCTCCGCTCCGGGTCGTCTTCCGCTCCGGCCAGGCAGAAGATGCAGCGTTTGGGGGCTAAGTCTGTCAGGTCTACTTGGAGGTTCATGGGTANNTAGTTATAAGTGGGATTATAAGTAGGGTAACTATACTTATAACCCATATTAGGGGACTTATAACCCTACTTATAACTACCCATGAACCTCCAAGTAGGGGTTTAGAGGTTATAGGGGTTTAGGGGTTATAGGGTTTAGGGGGTTTATGCGGCTTATGGGGTTTAGGGTTTAGGGGTCTAGGGTTTAGGTTTTGGGACGTCAGCGACTACGGATGCAGAGGTTTTGGGGCTTTTTATAGGGTCTATCGGCGGCATGAGTTCCATGTTTTGTCAGTTGTGAAGTCGATACTGTGATGGCCCGCTGTGTGCAGACTACATGAGTGAAGAGGCAAAGCGCTGTGCAAGACGTGGTCGCCCAATATGGGGGGCCTTAATAATTGGAATAGGGTTTTGGGGCCCATTATACTATAATCATAATTTGGAACCCCCAAAATCGTATTGGTAATTATTTAGGCCCCTATATCACACCGGCTCGCCAATACGTCCTTTTTGAGATGCGCTGAACCCGCCAGGGCCTGGACGACGGACCCCTTGGCCGGGTCCTTGACGAGAGCTTGGGATTTATATGGGGCTCATAAGATTAGGTTTAGGGTTCAAGGGTATGGAGGGGCTTGGGGTTTAGTGTTCAGGGCTAGTAACTACGTGATTTATACATTTCAGTGCCAGGGCCCATCGGATTTGTGGCTTTCCAGATTTTGCAGAAGATCTCTGGGGCTTGGGTCTTCTGAAAGTCGGCATGTGCGAGACCCGAGAGCCCTGCCGAGGTCCGGGAGAGTGGGCCGTGGTTGCCAAGTTCTTTGGCCTTGCAGATGACAGGCCCTAAACCCTAAACCCTAAACCCTAAACCCTAATTCAGATCCAGGGCCCAGGGTTTAGGGATTCCTTGGGTAGATAGAAGGCTGATGGCCCCAAAGTCGGTATTTGTATCCCTAAACCCTAAACCCTAAAATGCAGGATTCCTGACTGTGGCTTGTGGGAGCTTTAGTGGCTGGAGTGCTGATTTCAGCAGCTCCAGTCGTCAGGAAGACAGGCTTGGGCGCTTGGGCTGTTTTACCTGGATTTAGCCAGACGCAACACGACGGCGATGATGATGATGATGATGGTGACGATGAGGATGAGGATGAGGATGACGACGAGTGTGGTTTGCATGGGCATCGTGGCGATGACCTTGGTAGTTTTCGGCGTAGACTTAATCTGTGCACCGTCTGTACATGGATGGCATCGTACTGCAGTTGTGCAGCTGATCGCTCAAACGGTTTCCCTCACCAAGCAGCACTCTGATGTGGATGTCTCAACCCGGAAACACCGAGATCAGGACAACCTCGTAGTCAGTAGTCTATAGCTCTCAACCCAACACCCTGCACCACAAGCCACACCCCAACATGCACAACTGCTGCTCCCCCCCGATCACCCTGAACTCTAAACCGTCGAAGCTTCATACCGTCATACCCCTAAACCCTAGTACACCCTAAGCCCTAAGGATTCAAGAACCTTGTAAAATCTGAAGAATCCAAAGCAGACCGCGTGGCCACTACCAGGGTCCCTGGCTCAGACTTGGATTTCACTCGCCGACTCGCCTCATTACCAGAAATCTTTCGTTCCTACTTGTAGCACCATTTTGAAAAACCCAGAGAAGCCAACCTATGTTAGACCCAGAGCGCTGCTGTACCAGCTCCTCAACCTTGCAGGATTTGCGTCTTCTAGGGTACATCGGGCTTTAGCCCCAAAGCTGCGAAGTTGAGGCTTTGAGCATTGAGCCCACCAGCGACTGAAAGTGTGAACCTAAGCCAAGCCATCTCTCTACCTGCCCGAAACAGAAACCCCCAACCCCACAGTGTGGGGAGTGTGACTCACATACACCCGAAGCGAAGAAGTCCCTACTAGCGGCAGCAAGGCGTGATTCGCCTCTGGTGGCGAGATTTCGTTCTATTTCTTGCCAGACTCTCGACATTGCAGAGCAGACCCTTGAGTGCGGAGTCGGCAAACCTCCAGCCTGTCGGATTTGATAGTGCTCTCATTTTGTAAGAGGAATGATGAGGGCTTTATGAGGCGCTATGCAAGCTAACCCCTATTCTCCATAGGGGTCAGTCGTGCCTCTGGAGAATTGTGCAAGCCGAGTCCCGGCTGCAGAGATCCGACATCCCGACCCGTTTTGGTGTCCATTCTTTGTTGTACCTGCCTAAGTTCAAAGAGCTGTAAGTCACTGCTAGATGAGTTGAGGGCTCAAATGCAAACATCGAAATCCATTATCCTAAACCAAAAGCTCGGAGCCCTTTCGTGCAAATCCCAAGCCTACTAGTTCTGGGCGGAGACTACGCCATGAATTCGACAAATAATCGCCCGAAGTCTTGTATGGCGGTATGCACAGGTTGCTGGTTTCTGGACCCTCATCGGGCACCCTAAACCCTAAAACCTAAAGTTGTGACAGGTCGAAGCAGCAAAATATCCTTCATGGATCCGGCGCAAGTCACGGCACCTCTCACAACCTTCTTCGAAAAAGCTTCTAGGAACAGGAGCTGGAAAGCCCGCCTATTTACGGCCTGAACCCCTAAAGTCCGAAGCCCTAAATAACACTTCACCCAAACCACCATATCTCCTGATCTGTGCGGCTACTCCCAGGTGGTGGATGCCACATCTCGGCTGCTAGACACCGTGGAGAGAGCTCAAAGCGGTTTTGCAGGCAGGATGCCTATCAAGGTTCCGGTAACGGTTACGATTGCTATCACGGTTCCTACAAGGGTCATACTGTAAGCGTTTCTATAAGGGTTACCTTAATCGGTTCCCATGAGGGTTGTTGTGACGGCCACGATGAGTGTTCCTACAAGGGATGTTATGCGGGTTCCTGCAAGGCTTGCTATGAGGGTTGGTACAAAGTTTACTACGAGTGTTCCTAAAAAGGGTCATTGCAAGTGTTCATGTTCTCAAGGTTATGGGTTCCTGCAAGGGTCACTCTCAGGGTTCCTGTACCTGTTACTCTCACAGTTCCTGCACCCATACTAAGGCTTGCATTAAGGGTTCCCATACGGGCTACTCCGAGGGTCCTTTCGAATCCAGCTGGTGCATGGTCCAGTGTACCCTGCGGCCTAATTCAGACCCCGAATTAAGGATGCAGCTGAAAGCCGTCGCAATGATTCAAGTGATCTGTGACTTCATTTCCTTCGATGCCGACGGTGATACGCGCTGCGGGATGGATTGTGACGTCACGTCTTCCTTCACCTTTGAGTTGTTGATTAGTGATTAGTGTTTTGGACGTCATTGCTGTTGCCCTTCTGTAGGTACAGTCTGCATAAACACAAGTCAACAGTACACTGTGCACGAGTATTATATCGTATTATCGTTCCTAGTTTTTCATCATCTGCTGCCAAAGCCGCTCTGTCGGAACAGGCAAACAGACGTTTCCGAGATTGCTTGGAGCTCGGGCTGGATTCCTCCACACACATACATACGTGCATGTGTGCATACACGTACACACACACACATATATATATATGCTCACCCCCCCC